ACACTCTCCCGTAAGGACAGAATGAGGAATCTGAAAAGCGGAACCGTATAATGCGGTAATTGTATTCCCGGAATCAGCGCGGCACGCACTCTCTTAACAAGCCTCTACGAGTTCGTCCTGTCTGGCTGGCTGTAGACACGAGAGCAAAGCTGAGAAGCACTCTGGCCACGCATCAGCAGAAGCAGTAGCTTACCTAATAATTAAAAAAAAGAAGAAGACAATGCTGGGGACAAATTATTTACATGTTCGTATGGCACTATTTTATTTGCGACAAAATCTTTTATGGTATTAATTTTATTTTATTTTATTTTATTGTTAATATTACGTATTTAAAGAATTACGTTTGAGGTACGCAGAAATAAGGAAAATTTTTATTTAAATCAAATAACAAAACGATTCTTATTTTTAGTCAAAGTGAACCTTCATGTAGATAATTTATATATAAATTTTTGCAAGTATATTTTTCAGTTTCATAAACTGTGCGCCGCGCGATTCGATTTGTTGAGACTTGAGATGCTATCATAAACTGAAACTAAAATTAACATCATAAATTATATTGAGATCATCGATTTAATAATAATATTAATAAGTATCTTAAAACACAAAGCAACGAATTTATCGCAAAGAATACTACCTCAACCGGGAGTTAAACCTAGAAACTTTTTTTACATAATTATAATTTATGTAATCATATGATATTTATTGTAGAAACAGTAAAATTATTGAATAATGTATGCTATACGCATTTATATTTGTTAAGTATTTTATAGAGAGATACAAAAAATGTGAACAAATATTAATAAAGATTAATTTCTGAGAAGAGTGTGTGGAATGCAACTTATATACCCTTAAGTTATCTTTTTAACATGCCCTAAAAATTTTAAGGAATACCTAAAATCAGAAGATATAGGTGAGTGAGTGAGTTGCAAGTTATGAAGGACGGCAATCCGTTCTCGGAAGGTAGCAATAATGATTTTGGGTTAATTGCTCGCTTCTCGATCTAATGGAGAACATATCTATCAGCACGCTGGATTCAATGAATTATTGATGAAACGTGGCCATGGTAAAGAGGGAAGGAAAGGTCAGTCGATCGTCTTTGAGGATGAGGGTGGAATAAACGGCGTTCCTTCGAATATAAGAATTCCAGCCCCAAAATATTTCGTCCAGTCCGCGAAAGCTTACGTCTCTATTTATGAATGCATATTCATCGGACTGGCCGATGTATAGGGATAGACGCGCACAAAACACGGGGGATAGGAAATCTTCGTGGTGGGCCGGCGGTGGGATCGCCGTCATACGGCGCTCTCATAAATTACCGCTAGTTGCCGGGTAACATGTTATTTGCCACCGAGCTCCACAAATGAGTTCACTTTGTATTTAATTACTCGACTCACGCCCAGGGCGTATCCTGATGGCGGATCCACCCTGCACCGCCGCGGCGGGCCGTCTCGCGCGCAGTTTCTCTTCTTCACTTCTTTCTTCTTCGCCGCGTCTACAACATCGTGCAATCCTCGTTTCGAGCACCCCGTTACCTAATTTTACTCTTATTATCGACACGGTATGTCTTCGCAAAAGGCTTTATCTCTGTTTTTCCACGCTTTTAATATATCTTGAACGGTATACATGAATAATTTTTATCGATAATTTGTTAGATTTATTTTAGCATTCTTAACATATATTTTTGTTACAGATTATTTAAGACATTAAGAAAAGTTATTTGAGTAAAATTATTTTAAATGACAGTAGAGCCTTCTTCGTGGCACAATTTTGCATTCTTAATTAATTTACATTTGTACAAATCACGAAAATTAAATTATGAGCCGTGTAATTTCGGTTTTTCAAGAAAGCCGTTTCTTGATAAATGCGTTATCTGGTCCGTTTCGATTGCGTCGGCAAGTTTCTGGCAAGTCAAGAAGTCCAGACACACAGCGGAATGAGTGGGTTGTGCGCGCAACTCCGACGTCACGGGCAGGTAGATACAAAGGTAAAAGGTAGAGGCATACATATATGTATAGGTGGATTAGGGCAAGGGCAGAGAGGCAGGTAGGCCAGACTTACGCTTCGCCGTCCTAATTATTAGTTCCGCCACAATTCCATCCGTGGAACGAGATGATAATAGATGAAAGCGATCAATTTTTAAATTGCGCCTGATGAACGGAAAAAAAGCGAGAATATCTCGCGCGAGATATTAGAAATTGACGGGGAACGCGATACAAGAGAAAAATCTCATATCACCTGGGATCAATATCTACGTAACTGTCTGCGAGAAAAAAAATTGTTTTGAAGTAAAAATCCGGAAGACATTATAATATATTATCTTGAAATTATTTAATGAAAGCATTTTTTAGTATCATTTGATAAGATATTTTGTAATCTTTTTAAATATAATAAAACGTATATTAAGCGTTTTATTATACATACATTAGTCATATGTGAATATCGCACTACATATATTTTATTTAATGATTAAAATTTTAAAAATTATATCACAATTTCTTTAAAATTTAAATATTTTAACGTGAAAATCGAAATTATGAAAGCTGAAAAGAAATGTATTCCTGTAAAGAAAGAGATGCTATATTAAAATTTTGATTGTATCTACAAACAAATTGGATTCTATATTTGAAAATTATAAAATCTAAAATTAACCAAATTTTTCAAAAAATTATATAAATATGTATTTCTAATTTCTGAAACTTTTTCTATATTTTTAAGATTTCTAATCATTTTGGTTAAGTTATAAAAATCAAAAATATCTGTTTTTATGTTTTCTCTTTATACTTTCTATCTCGCAAGTTCTTGCACTATTTTAAGAAAACCTTGCCACCATCCCTCGGGACCGCGAGATGAAATCGCACGTCGAGCCGCGGAATCGCGCGTGTTCGCATTTTGCACGAGTATTCTCACCGAAAAAATACGGAAGGTTTTTAAGTAGAGGATTATCGTTCCGACTACTTAGGAAGAATTTTCGGGCGGCTGTGAGGCGATCTCCGAAATCCAAGACGGCTGCGCGCTCGGAACGGGGGACAGAGATCGGGTTGCTACGGACCACCGTGTCGCGGTCGCCGCAAACCTTATCCTACCTGTTTTCGCTAATTGAGCGAGTAAAGATGTAACTGGACCTTACATCTTTAAAGTATTTGCACCCTTTTGTGTAGACGCGATTCCCGTTTTTATCTCGGGAAAGCGGACGACCCAAGCCTGCCGATCTCCCGATTCACACGGCGCTCGAACGGAGTTAATGCATTTTGGAAAGTTTCAAACTGATCTTTCTTTGGATTATATTCAAATGTCTTCGATATAAATCGCTCCTTAGAGTAAATTATCAATGCAAGTCATCAGCTCTATAAGACATTACTCACTGAACATACAACCTGCAAGCCTATATTCTGTAACTCTTAACGCAAGTTTCGTTATCATTATAACGCCACTGCGCTGTTACTTGTTACCACACTAGAAGAACTACTCGGCAATGTTATAATGATAACGAAATTTGCGTTAAGAGTTACAGAACAGGCCTGCTGAACTTAATTTATATACTGAGAGAGAGAAAAAACAGTTGTAATTACCAAAATTTAACTATTTATAATTTGTAGTCACTTTTTGAGACAACTATGTATTTATGCAAATGGTTACTTAAAGGTTACAACTGTACAAGTTTCACATGTAGAATAAATGTATAATATAATACAATGCAAAAAGTATAAAATAGTTTATTTAACTGTGCACATTAATTCTACATAAAATTTGTACAGTTGTCATTTTCTTAATTTATCATTACTATAATAACTTTTTCCTAAATGTAGTAATAAATGACGATAACACACAAAAAGTCTCTCACCTTTAATGTTTTCATCATTCAATAAATCTGTTTGAGATTATTTTTATATATTGTACTGTGTGACGTTTAAAAAAATTAAGAAACTTATTTTTATGACATATATTTTTTGCATTTTGGTAAATTATATATTGCTGGATATATAATTATATAAAATAAGGTATTCTAATTATAATATTTAATACAACACTTTCCACCTGTCACGAGGGTCTGTTATATTGAACCACGAGGTGCATATTCTCCCCTGCGCACATGTTAAGAGCAATTTTCCGGTATCGTGCTTGACGTAAAATGGCGCAAGAACGTAAAATGAGGAAGTGTCATGATAGCAGGTAGTATGAGCAGTAGACAGAGCAAGTTGTTATACAAAGAGGATATTCGTCATTATATAATTCTACAATACTTAATCGTGTCCTTTTGCATACACATCGCAAAAGAATTCAAACTCACAAAATTTTTTTTCCACATGATAAAAGAAGGAAATACAACTTCAGTAAATCAACTCAACCCCATCATCTAGCTTAATTAATTTTCAAGAACACTTGACCGCGATTCGTTCGTTCGCTACTCAAGTTCCTCCGCTCACATCTTTTTATGCGCTATGACTTTAATGGCTATACGGCTCCATGTGCGAGAAAATCGTGCGTGTACGACGGAGGCGCCGGGCCACCTGTTGCGGCCCCCGCTCGCGTACCCCAGTCCGGCCGGCTCCGGGGCCCCGGTACCATCGCGAAGTGGGGAACCGAGCTCAACCACGATTGGTGGCCCGGCACGTGCTACTCGAGGGTGCCTCGCTCCGCGAACGCATAAATATCCCGGCTCTGGTCCACCCGACTTCAGAACCACCCTGTGGCTCGACTAGACGAGAATCGATCGACGCGCGAGAAAGTCATCCGGGTTCATCCTAATCGACTGTTGTCGATTTCAGTATCGCCGTGGTCTTTGATATCTCATTCGATCTCAGTCGCGATCCTTATAAGAGAACCATTGCAAAACCGTGAAAGAACACAAGGGAGGCGGTGTCTTCGTTCTCCATCGCGTTTAAAGAAGTGCGAAGTTTCAGTGAAAGGGGGTTTTTTTATCGGGGGAAAAAAAGAAAGGCGCATCCTTCGCTCTCTACGTGGAGTCGTCGTGTGCATCGACCGAACGCGCAGATCCTGCTATGGAACTGCAGGAGATGTTTCGCTACGGATACATGTTCCCGCCACGCGAGGACGAGCCGCTCGTGCCTGCTTGCGCGTACCTGGACCTGAATTACGCAAAGACGACGAACAAGACCGCCATCGGCTTGCCACCCGTCAGCACCCTCGCTGTACCACAGAACCTCGTCTACGACAGTAGCAATTGCAGCGACGGCTGGCACACCCCGAGTCCAACGGCGAGTCTGCGTTCCGTCAGTCCCGCTACCACGTTGTCGATCTCATCAGAACCGGAAACGATTAACAGTGCGCCGACATATCGGCTATTGGGCTCGACCGTCAAAGACAAGAGAAACACGACGAAGAGGGGATCGACGATCGAGCTGAGCAACTTTGGGAACAAGCGACTGCGTGTGGACGCGATGGACCACTTCGTAGCCGAGGAAATGATCAATTTGGACGTTGAGCGCGAGGACGCCGAGGAGACAATCAACCTGGACGTTGATAAAACGCGATCCTGCCATGGCAGCGTTATCAGCAACTCCAGCAGCGGTGGCCTGTCCGACAGGACGTTGGACGGCGACAGTGAGGAGGATGCGGATGAGGTCAGTGACGGAGGAGCGGATCATCCGGAGAATGCGCACGTCACTTCCGGCGGACGCGATCCCCGCAGGAGGGGCAAGTACGTCAACTCAACCATCGTAAGGAAACGCCGGCTGGCCGCGAACGCGCGCGAGAGGAGGCGGATGCAGAATCTGAACAAGGCGTTCGACAGGCTGCGCGCTTACCTGCCGTCCCTGGGCAACGATAGACAGTTATCGAAATACGAGACGTTGCAGATGGCTCAATCCTACATCACCGCACTTTATGACTTGCTGCAGTAAAGAAGAGAAAGGCGCAAGAAAGGAAGAAGAAAAAGAAGAGAAAAAGGAGTGCGTTCGTTCGCCGCGATACCGGAAGCCGACGAGTTCGCCAAGCAAAGAAAAGCCGATCTAACGAGAGTCCGCGAGTACTTCTTTAATAGAGTAGTGATTCGCGAATTTTTTTCTAGACATACTTAACCACGATCGAAGTTAAAACAATCGAAGCTACATGGAAAGAAGATTTTACTGATGTATTTTAATTTAGATTGGCACAGATTTTTAAATAATTAAAAATGATTTTTTTTCTTAAATCATGTAAATAATTATGTAGGAAATTCGAACAATGTTGCAAAGAGTTTTAACATTTTAGTAACCAGTTTAAATGTCCTACGTAATTATTGTAATAGTCCAACAGATTATTTTAAGATCTGTGTCTATTTAAATTTTTAGATACTTTAACGAAACCGTATTCTTTTCGTATAGAACAACAGAATATAATCTCTGTGTGAAAATTACTTAATCAGAAAGATAGAAACCAGTAGGTTGACAAACTATAACGACAAATCTAGTATAAAGATTTGAAGAATTATTAATTCTAATAGGCTAATATTATCGCATCTGGGACACGTGCCTTTAAATAAAAAAAAGTGTTCGTATATTGTAATTAACAAAAATTGAACGAGTTATTGTTTCGTCAATTTGTGTCTATTGCTTTTGAAATCATTCGATAATATTTATCAACATTTTTTCGCAAGCTTTTTTTTCAACATTTAAAAAATTTATTTTTGTAATTATTTCATATCCACAGGAACTGCATAAATACCGGAAAATGTGATAATAGCCGATAATAACGATCTCGTACAGAATATTAGTGATACGTGTGTAAATATCTGTAAATTTTGTATCATAGCCCGTTAAATTAGTTAATTAATCTTAAGCGCTGTATTATATCGTTCGCTTGAACTGTGTATACTATAATTTATTTTTAATACAGCATATAGCTATACTTCCTGCGAGACTGAAAAAGCGATGTATTTTTTACAAAATAAAACTATTCCACAAAAACTTTTCTACAATCTAGTTTTACATACCTTATTACATACTTTATTACCTTAATCTTTAAATAATGACGACTGCGTTATATTACTCATAATATCCAAATTATTTCAATTATCCAACACCACCCACATTTTTCGTACTTTCAGTTTGCGTTTTCGAGACCTGTTATCATTATTTGTCAGCGTCGATCCATTCTTTGTACGTGCACATAACTCCTTCGAGTAAGAATTAACTAGCGCGTTGGGGTCGATGGATAGATGAATATTCGTCGAAGAAGTAAAAGAGATGGGCAGCACCGCCATCGGTGGTCCGGTCGTTATATGAAACCCGCGCGACGCGTTGGTGCCCGGTTTCATCGCAATTTGAGAACCTGCAGACTTCTTCCTTCGGCGATGACTCCTTCCTTCCCTTTCTTCCTTTTCGCACGTCCAGGGTGTGCACCTTATACCATTCTCGGCCTATTTTTCTTTCAACAGATGAAACTTTCAAATTTCGCGAGATAAGTTCTTATTAGCATTAACGAGTAAGAATTTTTTGAAACCGTCGCTATACCTCAATTAATTAATCAGTTATTATCAATTATTCGCTCCCTTAACTTTTATAGAACGAGGATTTTTTAAATCTTATGTACAGCTGTTCCTGGAATAAGATTTGTTATAATTCACTTTATTGTATTTTTTACCTCAAAATGTAACATTATTTTAGCGTTGCTGGGAGAAAGAAATTTTGAGATAAAATTCAAAATAAAATTTGAATCTAATTTTTGAAGTTTAAGTTTGATAATATTCTTTTATTATGTGAAAGATACTGAAGAGAATACTAAAAAATAGGAAAACATTAAAATAAACTTTGAAAATTGAATTCAAATCTTTAGTTTGTTTTCTGTTCCTATAAAAAAAAGATTATAATTATTACACTAAAATTCTCTTTCGCGCTTTCAACAAATATCAAACATTTATCTATCTCTTTAAGTTCCAAAAGTGTACATTAGAATTCAACCACAGGAAACAAATTTCTTATTTCTTTTAGAATTACGTGTTCGAAATAGTATCACCTAATCCTATAGTGATTTTCCCATGCTGTAAAATTTAATTAAACAATTAAAGAAGTCGATTAAACAAGGCAGTGGATCGTTTCAGTCTCAATGTTTCACTTCTATGTCTCGCGTACGAAAACATGTAAACGTGAAAAAAACTCCTGGATCCCGCAGAAGTTAGATAAATATGAATTTTGGGATATATTGATAAAAGAAGAGATGTGGTGTCTGAATAAATAATACTGTTGGAAAATCATAAACCCCTTCCAGAATTTCAGTGACAATAGAAATGCCTCCGCCCTTTCGCTATTTAACATTATTTAGGGAATAGAGCAAACTTCCGTGTGCAAACCTCCACACTCGAACGTCCTTTTCTATTAGAACGGCGAGAAAAGTAGATCCCAAGTGCTAACTTAAACAGCAACATCCTTTTTCCCGAAAAAGCGCGTTTTACCAATTGCTTTATTACATAGTCGAAAATAAAAATATTTTGTTCCATGTTTCACATATTTGTTATAACTAAGCTGACAAGCTTAGTTACAATTTTGTTTTAACAAAAATTATTGTGTTAAATACATACAAAAATTATCACACATAAAATTACATAAGAATTATTTTAAAAAATTTAAAATTTCAGAATTTTGAAAACTAAAATTAATTTTACACTTGATGAGATTTTAAGATTTAATCAGTTTCTTTAATCATAAGTTTTATGCCACTAAACGTATCAATTAAAATAATAACAATTTGTATCAGACTGATGAAGTGATGAGAAATCAATTAAAAGAAATAAATTTATTTTCAGTCAAAGTAGATCTTAGTAATTAAATATTTCGGAGTGAAAGTATATACATCGCAATTATTAACAAAATTAGAGTAATAAGAATTTAGTAATCAGAAATTAAATTGATGAACAATTTTATAATTTTTGTTAATAAGCATTTTATAGGACATTAATAATTTAATTTGTGGCAAAAAATATAATTTCATACTGTTGGAAATATTTAAGCATTAAAATCCGCATTGATAAAAAATATAGGTTTATTTTAATATATTATTTCTCTTAATTGATCAATTAAAATACTCAGGAAGCTAATTATACCTTAGCATACGTTTTACGTTCGTTTCACGCTTCGTCGCGTGGCATTTAACATTTTTTCACCCCCGCTGCGGTCTACGCCGCGATAAGATCAGACTACCTTAAGCGATCATCGCGAAGCGCCGATTCACGGTCGCATCTAACCGCGAGGATCTCCACGGTGGGGAAGAAGAGAAGGAGGAATACCGAGGGATCTGGGGACTGTCGTGGGAGAAAAAGCGAGGTGGAGACAGGAGATGGGACCCTTTTGGACGAGAGAACGTAAATATTCCCCGAGGCGATTAATTCTACGGAGTCGACTACCACCTTCGCTCTGTCAGCAGACTCCGTTGTCTGACAAAGGAGAGTCCGACTGCAGCCAGTGGCCAGTGGCTATTTTCGCGATTGGACGGGAAGGGGTTGCGTAAAAGGAGGGTAGGCGGATAAAAGGGACAAACGCCGCCGCGTTGTTGTCTGATCTTGGCGATTGCTTTATTTGAGAGACGGTCTAACGCGCGCACCGAATACGCAGCCAAATATCTCGGTTCTTGGGATCGAGATCGGGACGACCGACGAGGATTAAGCGTCGGGATAGCGACTGCAATCTCGCGACCGGATCGAACGATAACCACGATCGGCCGGTCGAAATTTGTCGATGCAGACCGCGCATTCGACAACCCTCGCGCCAGTGTCTATGCAGCACCTGTGTGACTCCTCCTCGGCCCCGTTCTTCACGAGTACAGACTGAATAGTAATTTATGGACGAGATACCTAAGTGACTGGAATTAGGAATTGCGAGAAGAAATATGCGGCGGAAATGCTTGTTTCGTTCCATTTGGCCGATGGGATTGTTCTTTCAGCCACGCTGGCATCTATTAATTAAAGACTTTAGAAAGAAGATTCTAAGCTTTTTTAATTTTTTATATTTTTTCAGAAATCTAAGAACTTACATTAAAAAAAAATTTATTAAATCTTAATACATATTTTTTTAATACTATATAAGTAAACATTTACTTACAGTAAATAAATATTTACATAATAAAAAAATTATAATTAAATCAAATTAATGGTTGTTGTTATTAAATGTGTTTACACTTGGTAAATATTAAAACTATTAAAAAAAATACTTATTAAAATTTAGTAGTTTTTCTGTATACTTATAGTAAGAGTCTCATATAAATTCTAAATATATTTTAAACATACTCTAAACAAGCAGTGCTTAAAATAAAACTAACAAACCTTCTAATATTTTCGAGCATTTTCGATTTTAAAAAGTCAAACAATTGTTTGATCTAAATATTTTCACGCTTTTAATCAATCTCGTTGGAGTTGAAGGGTATCGAGGCACGTGACAGAATGAAACTTAGCCACGTGGGCAAAGATAAACAGCATATACGTTTACTCGTGCACCCGTCGCAGCGGAATTACTCGGAGTGCCGACCACGGTGGATATAAATCAGCCGCTCCTCGCCGACGACGTCTCGCTGCCATTCGTTCGCGCGACCAAGTTGCGACCAACGTGCCGCTTTCTGCCGATTCGTTCAAACTCGGTTCTGCTGTATAATACATTCGATGAATTGATCACTCGAGCTTGTTCGCGAAGAAAACGATTCCATTTTGCAAGGCAGACATGAAGAAATGAATAAATGTACGGAGTAACTCTGAATTGTCGGGAAGAAGTCACGAACGTTATATATGGTAAATCGCTGTGTTGATAGAAAAGTAACCTATCTAAAAGTTAGAAATTTTTTAGTAGAACAATTTTAAAATTCTAAATTGGAACAATTTTAATAACTAATGTTGTTTTGTTAATTATTTCAATTTTGTTCTTTTTTTTATTACATATACGATGCAGAATAATAAAAATATAATATAATATAAATAATCCTTCACTCTAAAGATAATACCGAAATAATTTTTCATTAATTGAAAATAAGAATAGAAAATTATCAATCTTCGATAATTCTAACAGGATATCATAGGCTGTTATAATATTAATTAAAATATGCATAACATTATTTTCTTTCCATATATAACTTTCAGTTATACTTCCAATTATATATATTTTATGCATGCATGGGTTTTCAAAATTGGAGTACTAGCTGCAACCCTGATGCTAATTTTTATCATTTTTCTAGCAACGCGGCAAAAATATATGAGCACAATGGAAAATTAATCGACAAATGCGAAAGGTAATTCCATTTCAATAGGTATCACAGGAATAACGCTCTAAAATCGTCGCACAGTCCCGGTCCGGGTGGTCCGACGGAAGTCGATCGCGTGTATTGTCTAAGAAGAAAAGGAAGGGGATTCGGAGCGATCTCCTTTTCGTACGAAAGATGTACAAAATCGCATCGCGCGATCCCACGATGTAATATCTCTTACAACGTGCCTGCTCGTGCGTGCTCCCGCGAACGCTTCCGGATTATAGACGCAGGTAGACGGACAGCTCGATCCTGGAGAAGGCAACGAGCAACACGACCGCCCATTGTGCCCTACGTCGATGATCCTGCGTTCGCGCGTCTCAAATCGTAAATCGGTGAAGGATCCTGTACCTGCGATCGTTTTTCCCAAACGCGTTTCAAGCCGGCATACTCAGCCCCACCCTAGAAGATACAATATCTTGTGATCTTTTTAATGTCCTCGATCCTCGATTATCTCTAAGTATCGATGGATACACGAGATGTGGGCAAAATATCGTTCTACTCTATTTCTAAAGAAATATTTATGTAGTAAAATATTTCCTTTAGTAACTCTTTCCGACATTATCGAAAAATCGTTTTATAAATTCTTTTTTAACCATTATTTATGGAGTTCCCTTGCTGTTATTGTTTAATTCTAGAACGCTATCATAAGTATAATATAAGTGAGAAAGTTCGTTAAGTGCCGACTTGCTTTTAGTGATCACCAGGATTAAATTTGATTTGTTTCTTTTTTTTTATTTAAATTATAACTATTTATAACTATAAGTCATCATAACTAAAATTATAATTAGATCTTTTGTGTAATAAAAGTTTAGATTATAAATATTTTATTATTAGAAATGTGAAATGTATGAAAATATTGTTTTATATTTAAATTTATAATATTCAATTATATTTTTAACCCTTTATATATTACTATACTTCTACTCATATGTTACTAATTTAATTAAAACGTTGAAGTTGAATAATTTAACTAAAAAAATTAATTTGATTAAAATTAATTTTATTAATTGCTAAATGCATGCAGGGATGTTATCTATTTTGAAACTAATCACAGAAATAAATTAAACAATCAACGTTTTTTTGCAATGCTTGCGAAAAAAGGTTGAACGTTTCATTTACGAGACACGTATGTAAAGAAGAAAATTAAAACCCAGTAGAACGTAAACGCGAGTTTATATCCCTGGTATCCCAAGGGATGTTGATTCGTCGGAGATCAACATCCTTCTCATGCAGTCCCGTCGTCGTTACGCTTTGTACAATAAGCACGCTGAAAATGAGTCGCTGACGCCAGTCGAGCGGTTTGTTTGCACGATCGTTTGGAGGGCAAATGAAATCCGCTTAATGCGATCGAGCGATGGTTCGACGATTCGATCCTCTCTCGGTTTCACGGGGAAAGGGCTTCCGCCGCAACAGCGGAAGGGTCGGCTCGACCAGAGGAGCGGCTCGAGAGGGCACGCACGTGGGACGGCGAAGGGGTGAGGAAGAATCGAGCCGTGGCGACTTCGGGGAGGCACGCGCTTACGACACGCGCACGTCACCCCTCACTTTCCCCTCGCCACTTGAGATCGCCCCGGGGACATTAATCCTGTTTAATCAAACACCGGCCAAAAACGTAACCGTCGTCTCATTGTGTTTACTATTCGTTGTGGAAGGAAAAAACGGGGGGCACGATGTTCATGCATTATTTAAAAAAAACACAACTTTGCATAATTTAATATACACATGAAAAAATATAGTAATTTTAATAAATAGTTGCTTGAATAGTGCCAGTTGAACATTTACCAAATGTAAAGTTATATTTATTTGACTGATACAATAAATGTTATATTAGCATTGTATAAACAATTATTTATTAAAATTTAGTACATTTTCTATCAGTGTAATAATAATTAAAATAGCAATAATTAAAATAACAAATATTTCTTTCAAAAATATGAATCCATTTGCAAGAGTCTCGCGACATTCAACACAATTGACTGACACATTTTGCATGTGTGCCTGCATAATTAATTATTACGTTGACAATAAGATTAAAATAAATTATATTTCTGGCTCTACAAATCATAAAATGAAAGAAAGAAAAAAGTGCGTTAATTATTGTGTTTAATTTGAATATATGGACTTTATCATATATAGGACGATCTTAATTATTTCAAATATTTGATATTGTGATTGTACCTATTTGATTTCCAAAGATCAATAAGCACTGAAGAGAACCCAAACTGAGGACCAATTTTTGTACACATACCTGTATTATATAGTTTGTATATATAATAATTACTGATTAATTCAGACAATAATTCATGCACTATTTACTGCTCATATAAATTTTTTCTACCCTATCCATACTAACTGGTATTGAAAAAATTATAAACAAAGAACTATAATAATAAAAAAGACTATGTTATAAAATTGAGCTCTACTGTGAATTGCATCGATCTTGTTTTACCTCATCCTTTATTTTTATTAAGTATTTCGTTATATATAACTGTTACACGAAAAATTGTTTAGTTACTTATTAATTCCCAAGAAGCTTAAGTCGCGAGAAGTTCTTTTAATTGCTTATAACTTAATGCGTAGTCATTAATGTTTCTCGGTAATAAATAAATTATTTAAATATCTACCAATTGATAAAAAGAATTTCTAAATTCAACTTTGCAAAATGATTAATATCAAAATTACAGCGCGTTCTTCAAAAAATTAAAAGTACCATTCTCTCTATTGACGTTTAAACGCGCGCATGCGATTCAATTAAAAAGTACAGTTCTCTTAAAACACTTGAATTACACGTGTCTTCCTAATTCGCTTGTATAAGCTACTATAAGCTTTATGACTGAAGATTAATATCTTTTCATTATTATAAGAAGCACAAACTTAAGAGCCATATTTTAAAAAAATTATAAACACCTGGAATATTACATAATATAAATCTCGATTGAAAAATAGATTAATTCATTCGTGAATTGTTTTACAAGATTCATCCGAATGTTCGTCATCAGTGTCCTCCTCGACTGGATCCTCAGTCTCTCGCTCGTTACTTTGATTTCTAGGATCGTTTCGCATATCGATCAACAAACTCTGCCTGCACAATGTCGTGATCGTGCTCATGTTGCCGCCGTCGACGTTTCGGGCACGAATTAATCGCGAAAGCTTTAGCTTCCCGACAATCTTCGCCAACGGGCTCGAGGAGTCGCGGTGTTTCGCAATGGCCCTCGGCAAAGACTCGCATCCACGATCGACCGTGACCAGTCGATCGAACGTGTCGGGATCCACGTTGATCATTCCGGCACTCGCTGATTTCACCAGCGAATCCGCTCGAACGTCGATCTTGTCCTCGCCCAAAGACACGGTTTCATTCTCCACGGTCAACCTCATCGTTTCTGTATCGTTTCTCGCATATCTCGACTCTTGCGAGCTCGAAGCAGTCACTGCGGTCTCGTTCGACCTCGATATTTCTGTTGTCGTCGATGTTCGTCTCCAAGGATCTTCAGGACTGGCGGCAGCTTCCGTTAGTTCCATTACGGAGCGACAGAAAGGACCACCCCGCCGAGACAGAAAGCTTTCCTTGGCTCGTTTTATCCTGGAGGAACGCGATTCCAAACTGCTAACCACGCAGGATTCTGCTGTCGTCGTTCGCCCTTCTCTTTTCGCCGCGGCATCTGAAAGTATCCTGAGCTTGTGCATCAAGTCCGATGGTACCGCGTCGCATCTAAAGTGATTCTCGTCTTGCTGCTTCGCTTCGTCCTGTTTTCGACCGAATTTCATCTCCTCTTGCCACTCCTCTTCTCGCTTCTGGCTGCGGTTTCTTTTCCCGTCGCATTTTCCCTCGAATTGCACTTCACTACACTTGACTTTATCGCGTTTTCTATAGTCGTGTGTCTGATTGTATTTAAACTCACCCTGCATTTGGCATGCACCTTGATTGTGTTCGAGCATTGTTATTTTTGACTTTTCTAGTTGCTCAGAAATTCCCGATACAGAAGTATTCCCGATCGAGCATGCGTTCATTGTCGCGAACTCTGTGTCTGACTGATAAATTTCTTCTTGATCCTCATCAATGAATGGTGGCTCTTTATTACTTAGTTCTTTGTTTAGTCTCTTATTACCCATGTTATTCTCCTGGTACGGTGAATTTTTCTCTTGGGTTGTTCTTGCATTTCCTGCCTTGCTTCCTGAGCTTCTTCTGGACCCGGCTTCGGAGGGAATCTCACTCTCCTTCGACGTAGAACGCAGTGGCCACGGCAGCGATAATGATACGCGCAGTAGAGCGTCTGGTCGGCCCAATTTTGGCGACGCTGATCTCGACTTGCTCTTGGATTTTGACGAATGTGGAAGCCGACTATCGACGGAGCTATCGCTCTGTTTTCTCGAGGACGATCGATCTTCTGACGTTCGACGGAACGGGCCGAAGATCATGCGCTTTGTTTTCACGAAGACATTTCTGGTAGAAGAGCCATCCTTCTTGACACATTCGACTTGATGATCGCAAATCATCTTTTTGTTAACAGCCGCGATGTCGTTCCGACGATTTGCACTTCCGAAATGATCTCGAATTCTTTCTGTAGATTTCGTTCCGCTTTCCGTGCACGCCGTAGGAACAATTATCTTATTCAAAGTACCCTCGTTGATCAGAATTCTTTCCAAATTGCGCGTCTCATTGTTCCTAGAGACTGTCATAGGAATAGTCTGAATGGTCGAATTGCTAAAGAGATTTCTCGGAGTTTCTAAGAGATTGGATTTTTTAATTTCTGGTAATCTCAATGATGAAGAAATATCTTTTATGCAGTTGCCTCTGTCATCAGATAGAGAGCTGTAAATTTCGTGATAGTCGACTGGCTCGTACAAGCGATTATCCATTGTATTGCCGCACGTGTCGGTTTTAAACGTGAGAATTTCATAATGCCGATCCGCATCGGTCTGCAACTCGGATGAATCGCAACTCTCATAATGTGCTGAAGCCTCGCTTTCGCTATTAACGCCATTGCATTTCGATGTATCTTTGATATCATCTACGAGAAAACAATTTTTTTGGAATTTTTGTGAGAGAAAAAGATATAAAAAAAAATGTTTTGATTGTACAATTTCAGTTAAAAAGACGTATGAACGAAGAAACTAAAGAAGCCAAATTTAAAAAAACTTTTTTTTAAGTATTGAAAGTACTATTGCTCAATGCTTTTTAATCCATATAAATTTTAATTGATTACTATCTCTCAGTTTTAAGTAAATAACTTTTAAAAGAGTAATTGGATCCAAATAAATTTTTGCATTTATTTCTTAGAATTGTATTGGTGTATCTAAAATATTTAATTTAACTCGTAATGTTACTTTCTTATTAAATTAGTAAATAATTACAAAACACGATTTTATATAAGAATAAAGACGTACAAAAAAATCAATGAGAGAATTGTGCTTAAATTTTACATAGATGTAATATTTTAGAACAATAAGTTATTTTTATATTTTTGATAATGCCTTGAGTTTTATGACACGTGTATCCTTAATGCAAAACTTAAAAATTACAAAATTGAAGAAGAATATGGACTTGCCTGAATTTGAATTCAATAATTTTAGTGGAGTTTCCTTGGAATCGGGGCAAACTGAAGATGGTATCGTTTTTGTTAATTGATAAGCGCAAAATTCTGCGCTGAGAATCGTGTCTCCTCGTTTGATGTTCTCATCATCTTTGTCATCTTGGAGATTCTTCGCATCGCTCCTCCGCTTATTGTTCAATGATTCATCTGCTAGATCCTCGAGCTTCTTCTTACACGTCTCATCCATCCCCTTGCACGTACGCGGTGGGTCCTGGTTGTACCGACAGGACTCTAATTTCAATTGCGTTATAATAAAACTTACTTTTCCAAAAAGTTTACTTCGACGCAGTGACTGGAATGTCTTGCGAATCTTGAGCAATAAGCAACTTTATTCGTAAACAGGCAATTAATTCTTTTATTCATGCTTTGCGTAAAAATGATTAAAGTTAGATAAACGTGCAAAATAAAAACATTAAAGTAAGTATAAGTAAAATTAAATTTTAATTTTTAATGTACCATAAATTCTTCCGCATTCGATGTCGTCGATGAGATTTCGAGATTTTTAAATTGAACAGATCCGGCGTTGTCACTTTCTGAAATAGAATATCGGATAATAAGAAGAATAATATATCTTTGGTTTATCTCTAAAACACACAGTACAAGAATAATTAAATACTTAATTTTGTTAAGACAAATTAATATATATATAAAATACTTTACCGAGAAAATCTTCTTTTTTTGTATCATTTTTATTTTCACAGATCGATGTGGAAGGTGATTCGAATACCATCGAATCTCTGAGAACACATCACTGATTTTTTACACGATTGTCGTAGGACGGAAAGAACGATTTTGCTGAAATATCTAAAAATTTAGTCAAATATAGATTTGAAAGTAATTTTATTAGATCATTAAAACTATGTAAAAAATGCCAACATAAGCAATAGTACAAAAATTTAAGTCTACAAAATGCATAATTATTTTGATTTTAACCGAATTACTTTCAGATCTGTATCTTTAAATCTTTTAGAGTAAAAACTCATTCTGAAAAATAAAATCTTACTCTTAAAGATTGAAAATTAAGTCACTTTTTTTAAAGACTTAATTTTTATTCTTTAAAATAAGACTTTATTTCAAAAATTTAGAGAGATAAATTTAACTAAATTTTTAAATACACTTCAGCAAAACCACTTTTTCCGTGTAATAACTTTTTGAGAAAATTGATTCGAAGTTTACCTATTCGCTTCATCGCCCGATTCATCCCAAATATCTCGATTCCATCCAATCGAACGGTCGGATTTTACGGAATCGCCAGAATCTGGAATCGAGCGTCGTGTTTTCTCGGTCCATCCTGTAGAATCATCGTCTTCCCTGCTTTCTTTGCACCAGCTCGACTCCCAGTTCGACTTGTCGTCATCCAACGATGTTCTTCGGCACCAATCCTCGGATACCGGAAAGTACTCTGGACTCGGACTGTTCTCGCTCGAGCAAGTTTGCGGACCGATCTTCCCAATATTCCAACGTTCGCAGTCTTCATCGTCCTCGGTCTTGACCAAGAACACCGGAGAAGGCTCGTGACTTGATGTAACTGTGCCAAGAGGAACGGCGATGCTGGTGGTTTCGCTGGCTGCGACGGAGTACACTGGCGTTTGATGAGGTTGTACTCCTGCCAAGGGACTGGCGGTTTCCTCGATAACGTCCTCGATGTCGACAATCATCGCCTCTGGCTCGGAATCCTCTACCGCTATATCTTCCGGATCTTTGATCCTCTGTGAGTTATCTGAGACAAATGGATGCAATAAATTATTAGTAACTGATAGAAAATTAAATATGACAGCAGATATAATTTGGATAAAATGAATAAAGAGAAGAGTAATATTTTATAAAATTACTATTATAATACTAACATATACTATACTGTAATTAATTAAGAATATAAAACTATACTTTTGAAAATTAAATCAATTAATTAATGTAAAAGCTTAGGTAGTAAATTGACATTAAAATGACGGCGAGGAATAATAATAAAAAATTAAAATAACTTTATTTTAATTTTTAATAATCAAATTTTGTAATAAAAAATTATTTTATTTTTTGGGACATCAAAATAAAATTATTTTAACTTTTTCTTGACTTCCCGTGTGTTTTAACATGTAAATGTTAAAACATTAAAAACGTTAAAGACAGATCATTAGTATAACTAGTGTACTTACTAGAGACCGGTAAGACATCTATTCGATTATCGTCTTCGAGTTTATCAGCAGAAGTAAGAGATTGGAGACTCGTGGAGCGACGTAATGTGAACGATTCGTCGCGAAGGCTGCCTTCGAAGACACTACCATCGGATTTAGATCGCTTCAGAGTCCAGTGGAATGCATGATTCTTATCTGCATAATTACGGAATAACAATATTTTATTTCAAATTATCAAGTGTTTTTTCAAAATTTCTTAATTTCATTTTTCGTACTTGGCTCTGTTAATGCAACTTCGTCCGAATCTTGAGCGAACGGCGTGTAGCCCGGTCCCAAAAGGCGAAACGTGGAAGATCTCGGGGATATCCCGCGGTATTTCTCCCAGTCGTACAGCTTCCTCGTAAATTCTCGAGATATACCCTCGAAACGGTAAGAGCCGACGGATGTGCGAATCAACACTTCGTTACCACAGTTTACGCCTCGAGACGCAGCCATGAATCTTGAATCAACCGTAAAATTGACTCAGTAATTCGCAAAGCGCGATTAACTTCTATTATTTTATTTAATAGAGGTATTACAGTAAAGAAGTGATCTATTACATTATTTCGAAAAATTTAGAAATGATGTCTTTCAAGAAAAATGTTTCATGGCAATTTCGGCAAACAAAATTTGAGGCTTAATAGATTCCGCACTGATTATAGAAATTGAGTTCTGATAATGAATTAATTTTTACACATACATATAATAATACATAGCTTATAATATAATGAAAAGGATATAAAATTCAATAATAGATCATTTTTGAGTTATTGGCATCAAAAATATAAAACTGAATACCGATGAAAACATACTATAAAAGTCAAGCTGGATGCTTCTAATATATAATTTCATATGAATTTATATACTACGTATGTAGATTAAATGCGCGTCGAAATTTTTTCAAACTCACAACGCAAACAATTTTGATGCTCGTATCATCTTGGATCTTAAAAAATATAAAATTTATGATGTTCATTATCGAGCCTTAACATTTTTTGTTCATCACATTATGGATTATAAAACATATTATATGTAAAAATTATTTTATTTCACTAGAACTCAATATTCTAAATAAATAGTATTTTGTCATATTTTACAATTTTGTTTTTAGAACTTAAAAAACGTGATATCTCTCAGATATTCTTTACACAGTTCGTGTACAACTTTACAAACTTTCGTACCTCGAATCAGCATCAAAGCAATCGTTCAGTTGCCTCGCATCGCTCTCTCGAAGTTCCTTCTTGGTCCTCTGCCCAAATAGCAGAAGCAACTTTTCCAAAGCAAGAAACTCCGTTTCATCAATGTCAGACGCAACACGATTTGTCGTCGGTGATTTCGGTCTCTCGCCACTTCGACATGAGGCCTCGCTCATCCTCCTCCACGTCTCCATCCTCTTGATAAAATCCTCGCAAAGATATTGCTTTCCATCACTGCCGAAGCTCCCCGCGCTGCCGATACTCGCGCAGCTTCCGCGCGAGCCGGTCGAGTTCTGATTCTTCTATCGTGCGTAAAAGGTCGATAAAATATTTAGAAATATTACAAATGAAAAAAGCATGTAGATTGTATCAATCCTAATGCAAAAGAGATTTTTTAGATGCGCAAAGTTTTTTCGATAAAAAATCGTTTCTAATCTTTTATTTTAATTAGAAATTTATGATAATGACCATATTAAAGACTACAGATCAAAATTGAAATTAAATTTGAATTTGACTAATTAAAGCAAAGTTTAGTTTTAGTAAAGTGAAGTTTAACTCTTCATTAAACCACGTAGTAAAAAAAAGTAATAAAAATAATAAAGAAATAATAAATTATAATAAATAAATATTAATTTGTAATAAATTTTATTATTTTCTTGTTTTACCTAAATCTGCTCATTTTTTGGTCATATTCACTTTACTATATTAATTTCTTTTTCTTTTGGTTGATTATAAATTCAATTTCAATTTCATTCTCAATTACTAATCTCTGATATGGACACAATAAAAAGGATTTCGCTATTTGGGAACAAATCGTCTTAAATTGTACAAGATTACAGCTTTAATCCGGCAACCCTCTCTTTTCTCAGAACACTTGTTATTTTTCGCACAAGTGTTCGCGAGATCAACGTACGCCGTAACATCTGGGCTCGGGTTTCGACGAAGAAGAGCGCCAGAGCTGCCAGTCGGTCAACCGTCGACGGCTGACGCGTTGCTGCTCGATAGCCGCGCTGGACCGGCGACCTTTCTTCGCTCGTTTCCAGTCTTGCAGTTTTTTCCTAAACTCGGGCGCGAGACGCTCTTCGTTCAACGGCAGGCCATTGCGAATGTTCTGAGGGCCCTTTAATCGCTCCCACTCGATTAGCTTCCGGTGAAACTCGGCACCGAACTTCTCCCGCAGCGCCTGATAATCCCTGCGCGCTTCCCGATAGTGGTTGCCGTTGTTGTTGGTACCTGCAACGGTTTTACCGAGATCCTCGACGCTTTCGCTAAGGCTGCGAGCTCGGCGCGTATCTGCGTTTACAACGAATACATTTTATGCAGCGACGAGAAGCGCATAATAAACATGCGAAAGAGTTAAGAGAGAATCTTCGCGAGTACTTCTTTCGAGTAGATTAGTCGTGTTTCTCAAGCGGAGTTTAAAGCCAGAGATAGAACAGCTTATAGAAGCTTGATGACAAACATTCATTTAAAAAAGACAGCGATATCCATTCGATCATAATTAAATTAAAGCTGTTCCCGTGAGATGCACTTAATAGCAATAATAATTGAAGTACAGTACAGTAAAGTGACTTGTAACTTTAACGACAGTATCGTTACATTGTCATCGTGCTATATTTTTATCATATATGTATATATAATTATTTATTTGCTACAATATAATTTGAAAATTATATTTTTAATTGCTTAATTCTTAATTAATTGTATTAAATATACTTTAACATATTTTTTAAATTAAATTAAAAACTTGTGTCTTTTGTTTGTTATATGTACACACAACCGATACAACAATTACAATTTTTATTTCGTTTTGACATTAGCAACATGTGACACGTGTGATGTAATTGGCATGTTGTCAAAAAATTTTCAAGTGTGCTGTCAAATTCTAAATAATGTTACGAGAAATTCATTGCCTGTTTTTGACTTTAGTAAGAAAATGTCACAAAACGACAAGTTTATCGAGTCTGAAAATAAAACTCATTTAACCTTTGAACAACAAAAAAGGCTGGAACAATGTTCTCCATCATTTGTACAAATCTGCTGTCAAAAATTGTTTTCCAAATCAAAGCCTAAAGTAAATCTCAAATTGCCTAAATGTTTAATTAAACACTTTCTCTCAAATTTTTTAACAAAAATGTGCGAATAGGTTAAATGCAAATTTTGAAAATTTTATTGGTTATATGAATCCTTTAATAATTTCCATAAAATATTTTTGTATCATTAAAAAAAATTTAACCGATTCTTAAATCTCCTCTCTCTCAATATAAGAGGCGACCATTTGAATATTGGATTATTTAACAAAATGTTTTGTAAAAGTGAAACCCGCTAATTCTAAGAAAATTATCTCAGAATACCTAACGTACTATATATAATAATATTATTCCTTATTAATGTAATTTTATAAAACATAATAAATTTTAGTGCAAAACAATTACGACCAGTGACGAGTATTTAAAGGTACGAAAATCTCTAAAGCTTCATACTAAGGATCTAATCAAATTCGTGGAGAATGAATCGCAATTGATTTCGGACGACATAAAGAGTCGTTTGAATAGCAATAGAGCCGCTCGTACGACTCAATCAGAGAGTCTCTTTAAAAAGACGACGGAAAAATTGGACGAATTGATGAAATTAGACGTTTCTTACGGCAGCTGGATGCGACAGAAGACGTTGCTACTCAATGATGAGATAAAACGATCTTTTGACGCTGTGGAACGAGCGATCGGTCCAAATGAAAAGCGTATAGCGTCTATGTTAAAGAAATTGCGAAGCGACGTGTCGATCTGCATTGAAAGCGCGGAGAGAAATCTCGCCATGTGTCGCAAACACTATCTTCCTCTCGATCTCACGAAATGCACGAAGGAACAGTCAGACGAAGCGACAAAAATGTTCGATCGGATGAAGGAGGAAGCACGTCGTAAGTTCAAAGAGATCGCCGAGTTTCGCGAAACAATTCTGAGAGCACATGAGATGACGACGCAGGAAGCGATAGAGATAAATAATAAAAAAACAACGGATTTATTGAGGTACCTAGAAAAATGTATCGTCCAGCTGAAGAATTCGAAAAAGTAGTGCAAAAAACGTGTAACTGAGAAATAATAAGTAAGTATAATATAAGCGCAAGCTATATTAAACGGATTCTAAAAGTGTAATTCTAGAATTGATGATTGAGACTAAATAATTGATTTTCAATTATCAAATCTTAATTATCAGTTAATAATTAATTTTATTTCAATAATTAATGATTAATTTCAATCAATAAATAATTTTTAATTAATCATTTAGTTAATCAAGCAATCTCAAAATTGCGAATAATTCGGAGAAGTCAGCCTCAAAGTTCTGTTTCAAACTTCAGAAATAAATGCGTAACAGAGCCGTTTATCTTCGCGCGCCTTTGTGATTGGATATACGTACATAATGTTTCTTTTAAATGAAGATTTATGGCAGAAAAGTGCGAAAAACTTGACGAGAATCAGTCGTAAACCTACTGGACGTGGAAATGGAATTCTAAAATTATATAGGGACCGAAAGTTTTAGATTTTTGGAAAAGATTTAATTCAAGAATATATATGTATTACAAATTAAGTTTTCTGTATTAATATTCAGTAAACATCAATTAATAGTAACACACACATAGCAAAAAATTATAACAACGTTATAATTTTTTGTTGTACCAACGTTGTGCCAGTAAATTTTGCTCTACTAGAATAATAATAATATAATATATTAATATTATAATTTCGAACTCAACAATATAAATGTAATACAACACAAGTCACATATAAGAGTTACATTGTTAAGTAAAAATAATAACATAGTTATGTACAATAATAAGCTGTTACGTGTGTTGTATTACATTTATATTGTTGATTTCGGGAAATTATAATATCTATATATATGTGTGTTTGTATAAGTTACTATTATTCTAGTAGCACAATTTATTGACACAACATTGGCCCAATATATCCCCCTCAATGCATGCCAATATTTAATCAATGTCTTGCCAGTATAAATTATGTTACTCACACGGTTAGTATTTACCCGATAGCTTCTTCGCGATTAATACAATTTCTAATATTATTAGCACACAGAGATTAATGTTAGCTCAGAGTTCGCAAACTGTATATTGGTTTAAAGACGCGTTCTCTGGAAAGCTTCGCTAAATTCTCACCATCGTTCATAAACGATTGCGCCGCGACCACTCTAATCGGGCTTGGAGGAACGCTGAAAGTGGCATTTGTCAGAAAAGCACGTCTGACCTTGTTCCATTTCGAATCTTGCTGTTGTATCTTTGGCGCTGGCGTTACCGCTTCCTCGATCGTCGAATACTGGAAGCAAACATCACATTCTACGTGTCACGGCAACACGACGACCGCGACAACCGTCTGGCAAGAGAAAGCATCGCCGCGGAATTTGGAGGAAACGGGTTATTTACAGCGTTATTTTCTAAGAAGACGTGTATTTCGTTCAAATACCGCAAGCGATACATCCCCAAACGTAGAAGATAGAAGGGAATAATTCCGTTTCAGTTTCGGCAAACGTTATACGAAACTTTTACTTGACGCGACGATTAAGTCTATATTTAAGAGTGATAAGCAAATATGAAAATACGGAACTGTAAACATTATAATTTTGTGCAAATCGTTCCAACCTGTCGTTTGAATTCCCTTAGGCTTAAAATGTCTTGCCGCATCCTGGGGCGTTGCGGCGAGCTCCCACCGGAATCCTGTGCGCTCGACGGAAGCGGAGATATCGATTCCGGTGAGGACAAACTTCTGATTTCCTCCTCGTTTGATGGTATCGTGATCGTCAGAGTCGGTGTCGGCCGCTTCGGCGACACCTCCGGATCTTTCCCGCTTCCGCTTGCAGCATACATTATTGTCGCATCCGCATCCGATATAATGCGAATCAGTGGTTTACCGCGATTAACCTGATTAAGGGAACATAACAATTTCGAAGTAACAATAAAATTTGAATTCCTCTCATCCTTTCCCTTGGAACAAAACATACATTTATGAATTCCGCAGTGATCAATGCCCATTTATCATACAATACGTATAATATATTCATCAAAAATAAATTATTATTTTTAATGAAAGTATCGAAAACTTCTATTAGATATCAAAGGAGGATATCAACCCGATCTCTTGAATTATAATAATAATTTGTTATTTTTAAGTTTTATGAGTGTCAAGATGTAAATAATTTTCTTCTTCTTTTCTCTAAATGTGGGTATAATTTAATATCATAAATTTAATGATATGTACTCGGAAAAAGAAGAAACAGACTCACGGAAAGAATGTTTGGCTGAGAAGTACTTAAAAATTTAAATAGATCTAGATCTGAAAATAATTTTGTTGGAGACCATCAAAATAATTATATAGAACGTTTATATAAGCTTGCTAGTCGGTTGTCCCAAAATCTCATCTACAGATGTTATATGAGTGCGATTTAAGCTAGGGGACTGTCTTAAAAAAATTCGCCTTAAAATGGAACCGTCTGTCTGTTAACGGATACGTTCGCGATGCGGTGATCAAAGAAATTCAACGGGCGCGGTCGTGCGCGCATGTTGCCGTGGATATTTTTAAGTCGGCACTTGTATGTACACCGCCACTCGTGTCGCGGAAAAGGAATTTCGCGGGACGTTCTTATCGAATTGCTACTCTCGTGTCGCGAATCACCGCTGAATGAACGACGCGACAATTCGGTATGGCAACAAAACACATTGTGGTATGTATATATATATGTAGTTCAGCACGTAGAATAAAAATTACATTTGCTGCAATTAATTTTCTTATCTTAATATTACCTAATTACCTCAGGAGATTCTATGGAATCGGCGCTCTCCGTGACGGAAGTGTCGCGATCGAGCGATCGATTGTACCGATCTGAATCTTCCTTTTTTCTATCATCCTTCACGAAAGGCGATTGTCGGTCCGGATAGTTCACGATATTTTTGCGCGAATCTAAAAAAACGTACCATTATTGTTATTAACAGAATATTCGTCTTCTATAATATTTTATATAAAGACTCAAAATTACTGATTTATTATATTATTTATCATATAGAGAGATCATAATTTAATGAAAAAAGAGGAGAAATATACTCCTGTTACTGCATCATATTTTTAATACATTAATTATTGAATATATTTAATAAAATATCAAGTTTAAGATCGAATCTGCTCTTTTAATATTAATACCTTTATTTATTCATCACATTATTTTAAATTGTGACGTCAGAAATGAGAAAATACACAATTTAAAGATGCTTATACAAATATATATTTTAATAAAAATATTTTTCAAGAAAACAATATTTGTAATTGATAGAATAAAGTTAAAAATATGCTAAAAATTACCTTCTTATTTCGGGGAGAAATTAAAATAATATATCAAAATAAATATTATTTTAATATCTCTATAATATATCATCAATTTAATTGACATTTTATTATAGCTGTAAACATAGATTATTTCGTTTTTTATTATGCATAATTTATTATCACATATATAATTATTTAATAATTAACAAAACAAATAGAAATTTTGCAATATTTCTTTCAGTTTTATTGATTATGTTGTTTTATTGGCTGCGTTTAACAAAGAAAGCAGCTTTGTAACTGCTGTCAGATTCTTTAATATGATTGGTAGTTTAGAGTGAGAAACTAAAAGCGAGATCAATCATATTACAAAATTTTACAGTTACAAAGCATTTCTTTCTGGTAGACGCAGCTATTAAAATATATTTTTATATTAACATATTTTGCGAGGATATTTTTATTTTGTTTTCTCACTTTTGACATCACAATGTAGTAGTGAATGAATAAGAGCCTTAAATACTTTGATAATCCTCTATTAAGAAAAAAATTTGCTTATACCTAATCAGAAACTTTTATATATATATATATACATATAAAATCAATTTACAATTTTGGAGCTTGGTCCGCGAAGACCCTTCATTTTAAAATGACTTCGATAATAGTTTCGAAATTTCTATCCTAAACCAAATTGCCTCTGAATTAATGAATGTATAATGCAGCATCTACTTTAGAGGACGCTTTGTGAAAACGGTAGATGCATATTCTCACCGTCGAATACATCGTCATTGGACGACGAAGCGGACGATACTCTGCCGATCGGCGTAGATGGGCTGGAGACTTCACTGGTGCAGGGCGACAGCGCCGATCCGGTGCTCCAGCTTCCGGCGATGTTCGCATCTGGAATTCGGAGATACCTCGTTGTCGGTGTTGACGATGTAGTCGTTGGTGGGTCCGATTCCGCGATGTCCGCGAGATCGTTCGTACACGCACGCTCCCATTTGAAGGCCGCCTTCACCCTGGTCCACTTACTGACTTTCGGGCCGCTGTTGCGACCCGCGTTCCTCGCAGGACTTTTGTCCACCTCACCTATCTGCTCGACCAGACGCGATCCGAGATTTTGCTCGGTCAGCGCGAGAGATCGGCTTCGCTGTCTCGATAAAGCGGATGATCGTACGCTCGAACGTTCGTTCCTTCTCGGAGTCGATGACACGGCATCTCGGCTATTCGACAGCATCGCGTCCAACAGCGATTCCGCGAAGCCGGTATCTTCGTCGACGAAATCATGATGCAACTCCTCACCGTTCGCCAGAGCGATCTCCAGCCGCCGATTAGCATTTCGTTGAACCTTCGCGCGTTCCAGACCCCGCACGCGCCGGAAGTACTCGGAGCTGCGAGTACGCAGCTCCAGGATCTGCTCCGTCAGCGTGCACAGTCGGTCCAGGTGTTCGAACGCCTCCTCGGTGAAGAGGGTCGCGTCGCCACCCATCGCCGAGGTCGCCGAGTTTGGCGTGGTGTCGTAATCGAACGAGTGACCCTCGAACGACGACGCGCCGAGCTCGCCGAGATAAGCCGCGAGATCCTCCTCTTCCTCCTCGGGCCCGCGAGACGTCACCTCCGAGGGATGATCTCGTACGAGGGCAACCGGCGGGCACTGCGGATCCGGGGGTGGGGTCGGAAGTCGACCCTCCTCGGGCTTGTCCTTGACCCTGCCAGCTCCCCTTTGATCTCGCGAGCGGCTCGGGCCCGACCTGTCGAACTTCCTCTCGGCTTCGAACGCGCCGGATTCCTCGGCCGGGCGGGCATTATCCTTCGCCATTGAATAGATTGCTGAGCGAAGACGCAAAATCTAAATATTCCGCAGAACGCGATGGGTAGTATCTAACGAATGACAATCATAGAAATTTAACGACGCTGTCATCTTTTATGTGGTTTTACCGAAACAGCGCTGTAACGCGTCACGCGGTTATTCTATCCATAAAATTCGAATAACATGAATTCGTGCTGAATATCTTTTCAGGTCTAAATGTCTTTATTCTTTAAATATTTGTTCAAATCTGTTTTTTATTTCGTTGCTTCAGTAAACGAAAGCTGTAATATCGAAATACTTCTTGAAATTGTTATGCGCTCATAAAGATTGTTTTTTTTATTTTGTCATTATTATGCGTATCGAGCTTCTTTGATTAGAAAAATTTGATTACGTATTCTTTTATACTGCTGGTATATTTCGTTTACTTTGATTTACCCGAAGAGGCCCGAATACCTTCGTCCAAATGTTTGTACTATAATAAATGTTCGTTGTCAGATTTGTTTCTGTACGCTCCGGCAGACGGAAATGCGATCTATAAATTGATGGTACAAGCGAAGTGTTGATTCCTCCCGTAAACATCCGATCGTATAAATATTATGGGAAGCGAACGCGCGGTAATGGGTCCGAATGCACTAACGTCGCTTCTCCAACGCGCTTTTTCTTCTCGCTATGAGAGCTAGAAAAGCACAAAAAGTACAAAGAAGAAGCATCAATTCCTTTCTTTATTTATGTGCCACTGAGACTCTCCACCACAATTTACGTTTCCCGTAGTCTTTATATGATTGCTTCATCGAATTGCTTCATGGATTTCTTTTTATCCGATCGAACGTGAGTGTTTCGTGGTTTAATGTATTCAAAAATTTAATATATCAAAAAGTTCATTAAATTTCACTACAGCATGTAACATTTGCTGCATTAACATTAAATCGCCTGTTTAAATATCTATTTATATTGATTTAAAAAGCACCTTTGCTTTACGCGACGCATGATTTCTTTGTTACACTCCGTCCAAAAATTTCCTCAAGTCTTTATCCGAACACAAAGAAGAGAATGACGTTACGTATCCTCCAATCGTCCGCTCCGTTTTTAAAATGCTTAAAAATTATCAAATTTTATCTCTAAAAATTTATTTCATCATAGAATAATTTTTTTTTTTTTCAAGAAATATAATTAATACGAACTAAGAATATCTACTTTTTATCACCCACGGACACCAATGATATTGAAAGACTCGACGGAGCTTCGATTAATTGGCTGCGATTACATCCACGTGAGAACAACGCCTTCCTTGCTTTTTATTATTTTTTTTCATTCGATCACCGACTGAAATTCGCAGATTCACGTTCCCGGCGCACTCTCGATCGTTTTGTCCTCGCGGCGGCCTCCGAAGCGACGGGAATTCGCTCGCGCGACCTCGCGAGGTCGCCTCTTCGCTGCGAGAGCGAGAAGCTCGTCGGACGCCGCGCGTTTCGAGACTTCGGCGATAGCGCGCCGAATTATTTTCGGTGACGAGCATTCGCCGTGTGTATTTACGGCGGATGCGTGTGTGTGTATTGGGTACACGTACGAGTTGCAAAGGCGTCGCGACGCCGAGACGAGAGTCTCGCGTCGGGAGGCGCGGGCATGCGCGACTGCTCGCGTGCGAGAGCGTTCTTCCTGTTCCCTTCGAAAATAGACGGGAAGGCGGCGCGGCGGCGGGAAGACGCGACCGTACGGTCCTTATTTATAAGCGCCGCGGAATGACGTTACCGATCATAAAGCTCGCCGTGCTACTTTCGCCGCGCGATGGAGGACCCTGCGGAGAGTCTCGCAATAGCTAACAATTGTGGATCTATTAAGAAAATGTAGAATAAGATCTGACAGACAGGTAGTAATCCTCCGAAGTTGACGTAAAAAATCTGTAACATAGTTATTGCACTGAAAAAAATCATTTGGTTGAAAAAGAGTTTAATCAGAAAATTTTCTAATTAAATCTACTAAAATTCTAGTTGAACTTGAGATAACTAGATTTCTCATTGATATAATCAGAATCTTTTGGTTTGTCCATTTTTAAACAAATATTATATTATTCTCAGTGTGACGTTAGATCTAATTCCCAATTTCTTCACCTCTAGGTAACCTTTATCCAGGATATATCTCCCAGAATACAATGAAGATATATTTCCTGATTAAAGTTATCTGGAAGTGAAAAAATTTGGCATTTGAGATTTAGACTTATTTAATTTATATAATATTAATTAGTATGGAAATAAACGAAATTTCTGATTATTACAATAATATATTTTAGAATGTAACCAGAATAATTAGGTGGTATCGGTTAATGATGTAGTAATAATACTGAAGTATCTAATCATTACTATAAGAGAAAAAGAATATGTTTAAATGACTATTAATAATCATTACATTTTAATAATTTAAATTTATAGATACAATATAAAGAAATTTGACTTATTAAATGTTTAAAAAAAAGTTTATAATTGTATGTGAGTGGATTCAATAACGTCAGCTCCGGAGGATTGAACTGATAATTCTAACTCGAAGATAATTGCAATTTAAAAAATTCAATGTTAATGGATATTGGCAAAGAAAAGACGTAAAATCAAATTGTAATCGTGAAAAAAATACAATCGTTTCCTTCGTAGATATTCTTCTTTTATATATTCTTGGAAGTACGTAGTTATTCCTTCATCGGTAATCTGGTTAAATCAGGTACGAATAGTAGCATCACGATCGCCGCACCTGCAAGAGATGTTTAATATTTAGTTTAATACAGCAAGTATCACAAACGATCGTTTCTTCGTACCTATTAGGCTGGCCGACGCGACGATTATACTTAGAAGACAGGTCGTCCTCATATAGAACTGCAACACGAAAAGCGTCAAATAGGGAAGTATCTTCGTCAGGCCCATCACTGTACCTCTGGAAATTGGTACCAGAAACTACGAGTTTTATACCGTCGCGTCCGCAAACATTTGATTCCCAAAAATGCGTCTGACGGTCTAAGATTAGCTGAACGTGCAGCCGTTCTGTTTTGCGCGACCTACCTCAGAGCGGTGGGATAATTTTCCAGCAGTAAAACGCACGTCGTCGTGCGCCCGATAGCGTAAGCGGCCAGGAAAATCGACGACAGAGTTACACGAATTGCGTGGTGCAACCGAAAAATAAGCACGAGCGAAGCCAGACCACCCGCCAGTCCCGAAAATACTAAAAGCAATCAGAGAAGAGATCCTTTTATACAGTGTTCCGAAATTTACGAATCAGAATATTGCAATATAAGAAAAATTTCAAAAAATTAAGTATATACATATAATAAAGTTGTTTGTAAATTTTTATTTTAAGCAATAGTTTGTGAGATAATAAGAGTTTAAATATGATTATCCAATTGTGGACTACTTTTGAACGCCGAAGTGCTCGCTTACTAATATTACATGCGCGATTTACGGACAGATAGCTGTCTAAATGTAATCTATAATTGGTTATATATAGTATTTAAATTCTTATATTCCAAAAACTGCTGCTTGAAATAAAAAAATTCACGCAATATTTTTTTATTTAATTTTTCGTAAATTTTCTTACTGTAGTATTTTGACTTGGTAATTCGGGACACCATGTACGTACACTAAATATATTAACACTCTGGAGCTGACGTCAAAATCTATGAAGCAGTTATTAATACTGGGTCTAATATGAGACCCAATTAATTCATGTTAAAAGACACTAGTTAATTTTAGGAATCAAGATGACATAATTTATATATAAAAAATGCATATATGAATATTAAATTTATTTAAATAACAATATATTTAAATTAGAATGTAATAAAAAGCATACAATTGATTGACAGAATTAAGAACTACTCATAACTTGAGATTATTTGTAACGTGGTTATCGTTATCGTTACATTTTTCTGCTATGACTCTATGTATATAGGTCATGATAACATCATTACATTTTTACGAATTCAGTTGTTATCTTTATCATTACTTTAATCTCCTATTATCTTTGTATCTATTGATCACATTATTTTTATTGCAACGTATTGTAACGTGTTTCTTTTTAAAATTAGTAACGAGTGATGTAACGCGTTATTTTATATAAAGTCATATTTTTAATTCTGCTGATTAGGTTTAATAGATCCATCATCGGCTCCGGAGAATTAAAATGATATCGTCACAATTATAAAAAGATTTTAAGTCAACTGATAATTTGAGAACTGTAAATTCTCTTTCAGACAAAGAATGTAGAATTTTGAGAGCCAATTAAATAATGCATTTCAATTGAATTATGATCGGCGATTCTCGGCGACCGTTTAAGGTGCTTACTTAAATACGGCCGTCTGCCAACGACATCGATTCCAACGATAAGCAACGTCTCTCCTAGCACGTAGCCTAGTGATACCAGCAATAGCAGTTCGAAACGAGCTTCATTCACCTTATCGCAGTTTTGCAAAAAATCCAATACCATGTTCTGGACGTCGATGTTACATGTGCCGCTTACGACGTAGTGTTCTTTCATTTCCTGAAGAACGTGCGTGTTCCACAAAGCGAGCCAAACGAATCTTAAATATCGTTCTCGTGATTCTTCTTGCAATCAAAGTATGCAAGAGACAAATATCTTACAGAGAAACGTCTTTTATTACCCGGGAAAATGCAGAAGACACGCTAATATTCCGCACAATGTCATACGTTTATACGGAGACTTGTGTATTCTGTTGATCCGTTCCCAGGTTTTCGTGAAGTATCTTTGAATACTGCCAGCTTCATCCTCGTCGTCAGGACGCACGCAGTCTTCTAAATTCCTGATCTGGATCGTGGAAAACAATTCCGAAGAAATAAATAAGTCATCAACAAATATATAATATAAAAAGCCTTTTATAAAATAGATATATTATTTATCTTGAATTAACTCTGTTGAATATGTATTACTGGAATTATTTAGAATAGAGTCCGATCGGAATTATTCCGTTTTTTCTGGAAAATAGAAATCTATAAAATAATTGAATAATTTCAATCGCGTAATTCATTCCAAATAATTCTATAATACATTTCCTGGCCTGTTAAAAAAAATTTACTATTATATCTTTTGGGTCAACATTTTGGGAAAACTAGATCTAAACAGATAAAAAAAAGCAACATTAAAATATTTATTTTTTGTCTAACTAAAAATAAATAATTTTTAATAAATGTGTATATTAATTTCTTATCTTTATCTATATTGTTTTCTATATTTACTATATCCATGCTACCATTTCATTTCTTTCGACAACTGAGCTTAAAGAATCATCCGTTCAGAACTTAAGCGATAGCAAATGAAGAAATGGACTAAGAAATAATAAGATATTTTCGACAAAGCGCGTTGAGATGCCATACCGGGTAGGTATCGGCGTGTTTCAAATTATTAATGGCGTACATCTGTTGGAGCACCGCGAGTGCTTGTCTCGGCCGTCGACGGAGCAACAAATACCGAGGACTCGGTGGTAGGAGACCTGAGGTGCAAGCGATCACCAAACTCGGTGTACCGCAGATAATAGCGAATACTCGCCAGGAACTAGGCCGGAATTGTTTGCCCAGCATACGTATAATGGATGGCATTATGGACCAGGAAACACCTTTCCGAATAAAGGAATCTCTGAGATTTTTCGACATAATTTTTATTAATTAATTCGTTAATTGATCTATAATTAAATCATCTAATTTCCTTATCTCTCATTAATGTTAAATTAATGTAATAAATGAAAAAATAAGATTACTTTTAAAAGTCATTGTAGTTTTTAAATAAATAGATTTAAATAAATAAAGTAAAAAAGAGATTTACGTTTATAAATCACTAATTCAGTAACCACAAGTTTTTTTTTATATTCCTTGAGATCATTTTAACGCGTTCAAAATTTTAATATTAGGGGTATAAAATATTTAATAAAGACTAAATTAAGAATTAAATTAAAATTCATTAATAATTAAAGGTAATATTCAACAAATTTAACGTAAACTAAGAAATTATTTGTAAAATAAATATATCCAGTTACCTATGGCTGATAAATAGCCGACTACCCAAAACATGTCGATTACTGCTAAACAAGTCCCTCTTTTTCTCATCGGTAGGCATTCGACGAGATAAATTCTCAGAACGATATTATTTCCAGCTATTCTATAAACATAAACTCTATGTCAATGACTATATAATTGTCATTCTATTAATAAATACGCACTTTCATTATCATGCAATTACGAATGCATTAATCTGCATATATTGTGATATTCCTGCAAGCGACAGTAAACCGCACAAGTAACGATAAAGATAATACCTCCTTTTTCATTAAATTTGGAAATTAAAAAAATGTACAATACTTTTAGATATCTTACTAATTAGCAAAACGTATCTCACAAATGCAAATTAATCATTAGATATTATATAATGTCAGTTATATAACGTGTCTCGTTGTAATCAAGTTTTGTTTAGAAATATTATGTAATTGATATATAAAATATTATAATAAACAATTTTCTCGAAATAATTGTGACAAATTTTATTTTTCGCTTCTTTGCATATAAAAAATGTAAGTCGTAATTTATGTCATTGTATAAGCAATGACATAAAGAATTGTAAATATGAATTATGTGCCAACATGAAAAGTAAATACAGAGTTTAAAAATATTTTTTTAATTCATAAATCATCGAGTATTTTTTTATCACTTTAACGTCATCGTAAGATTTTCCAAATTGTACAGTTTTTATTATAAAAGGATAGGAACTTACCCCATTCCCAACATAAACACCGACAAATTTATAAAAAAATTAACTTGAGCGAAGGAAAGAGAAGCCGAGGCACAAAATATGATGCCCATAGTAATCGGGATCATTTTTTTACGGCCTGCAACGTCTGATATAGTTCCAAACAGAAAAGCACCCACTGCCATTCCTACTGATCAATATTTAATAAAACGATATATTAATATTTTTATAACTGAAAATCTTTATGATAAATTTTACATAAACGAGAAATATAAATTATATATGTTTTTTAACATTTCCCGTTTTTTTATTAGATAATTAATTCAATAAAATTATTTAATTCAAATTAAATTGCTAATTCATTATAAAATTCGTAAGATAATAATTTTTGATATCATATACCAAAATTGGAAGTAGCGATGGGCATTATGGCGTGATCTCTGTTGAGCTTTAAATCGCACGCTATCAGCGGTGCCACAATGGGAACAGTCAGAGAAGTGTTTGCTTCCGCAAGCGATAGTAAACCGCACAAAGTGACGATGAAGTAATGCCAGGTACCCCATCCTTCATTAAATTTGCAAATTAAAAGTGTACTTTTAGTTATTTTTCTAATTAGCAAAACACACACACACACACACGTATTCCACAAATTAGATATTGCGTAATGTCAAAGTAACATGTCGTGTTAGACAGGTTTTGTAACTGATGTGACAAAATAAACAATTTTTCCCCGAAAAAAATGCAAATTATCAAATTGTTCGCTCCTTACCTGCTTCAGCTATTGCAGTTTCGTAATCGTCACTCATGAAGATATAGTGCCTATCTTATCACAATAGAGTAAAAAATTCGCTGAAGAATAGGTTATTAAATCAAATGTCGAACATAAAATGAAGTTTTCTGCAGTTTAGCAGTTCGACTCTCGCATATTTTTACATTTTAAGCTGCGCTCGAAAACACTACTCCAGTTCCTCCGAGATGTTGTTTACAGAGTGTTCTGTAAACAAGATAAAATGATACTGGAAGTAATATTTTTGAACGCGACCTTAATTATTATAACACGAGATCAATTAAAAAATATTAAGTTATAATCATATTAAACATATTAAAAATAAGAAATTTGTTATTACTTGAACTTACATTTTAATGTAGCAATATGTTGTTGAAATTATTCAGACTTTTCGTTATCAAAATTTTTGTTACGTTGACTTAATATTTTTTAATCACATTGATACTCGTTATCACGATTAATCTGTATCGCTCGTCTGGCACGTAACATTGATATGAAATGATTCGTAATTTTCATATACTACGTGGAATAATAAAATACACTCTAAGAATATATAGAAAATAAATCCGTTTATTAAATTAAAGACGGATATTTCAATATGAATGTCGCGAGATATGTATATCCGACTATTCTAAACAGAAACAAAAGTGAACGTGTTTAATTCGAACAGCAGCGAAAGAGTATAAAACACACGCGTGTGATCAACAGTAAATATGAAGAAATATTGTACGGTTTTTATAGTCTATTGATCCTTGAAGTACTCCAGCGAGCCAACGACATCGGCTTTCATAGCTTTCTTGCCAGGTTTCCAGCCGGCTGGACAAACCTCGCCGTGCTTGTCGGTATATTGGAATGCTTGAACGAGACGCAGAGTTTCGTCCACAGATCTGCAAACATGCAACATAAAATTATTGTTAACGACAAAATTAATTTAAATGTCATGCTTGAATGCTACGCTCGAAAAGTTCATACTGCGAGATGCAAAGTACATTTTTTATAAATTAACCACGGTATTAATAATCGTCCAAGTGCCTCACCTTCCTACAGGTAAGTCGTTGATGGTGACCTGGCGCAAGTTCTGCTTGTCATCGATGATAAAAAGTCCACGGAAGGGAATTCCTGACTCCTCGTCGAGGACGCCATAGTCACGGGCGATTTTGGAGCTCTTGTCCGCCAACAAAGGAATGTTCATCTCACCAAGACCGCCCTGTTTGCGCGGCGTATTTATCCACGCGAGATGGCTGAAGTGGGAATCGGTAGATGCAGCAATCAATTGGCAGCCGATGTCAGCGAACTCCTTCGCTCGGTCAGAGAAAGCGACGATTTCCGTCGGACAGACGAAAGTGCTGCGGTAGAATATTTATGTAATCATTATCTATCTCTAAACTGCTTTTATTCTTATTCATCAAAAATCTTAAACACGATTTTTTTAAGTTGTACCTCCTATCAATCTTTTGAACTTCAAGTACTTTTTTATTAAATCTATTAACTAATTATTCATTAAAATTAAAATAAACATGTAACACAACTTGTTTTAAACTTGATGTAATTAACAGCTTTTATAAAGAGATAACCTTCAAAATAGAACACATTTTTTGTTATCATTTCAAATGAATCAGTTAAGAGTTAAGTGTATGCAAATGTTAAGCAATTACACAACACTTCTTGTAGCAGTAATTGAGAATTGTATAATTGTCTCGTTATATCTTGCCCATGAAAGTATGATCGTAAATGCTTACAAGTCCAACGGGTAGAAGAAAAGCACAACATATTTGCCCTTGTAGTCGGACAGTTTGATATTCTTAAATTGTCCGTTCACAACAGCAGTGCCGGCGAAAGCGGGCGCTGGTTTCTGGATTTGAGGTACTGGCATGATTGCTGCTGTTTATTTGCTACAACCAAGAATACAAAGAAACTTTATAACATCTATTTTTCACAGATATCACATTATGCATTCATAACGCACAGCTTATTTCTAATGAATTGTTACACGAAATAATTTCTACTCTTTTGGAAGTTTCGCAATAAATCTGCATCTATATCCGCAAGATAAATTCATTACAGAGTTTTTTTTATCGCCCCGCGAACTCAGAATCCGAGTAAAGCCAGAGATATAAATGAAAAAAAGCCATTGAATACCAAAATATACGGTTTCTGATAGCTTGAAAGGATTGTTATTCTCTGTTTCTACTACCTGTGCTTTTCAATTGTGTCTTATAGCGAATTCAATTGGATTCAATATGCGCACTATGTTTAATGTAAATATAAAAACGGATTAAACCTTGAAATTTTCACTACATTTTATTGTGCTGTTAAGCAAAATCTGTATTTTATAATTTAAAATATTTATATTTTACTTTTACAGATTAAATCAGTGTACATACAATGACTTTAATATGCATCAACCGAATTCGTTATCAGGCTTTATATCATCCTTGTAACTTGTCTACGAAGAAACGATCCTGGGACTCTATTCTTTAAAAGAAACGTATACGAAAAACTATAGTATACGTAACGTATACCGTAGTATTTCCCTAAACTTTCGTATACGTTTCTTTTCAAGAATAGACCCATGAATGTAAACATTTTACAAGTTTCCGAATTATGCGATAAGATTTTTGGAAATGCCATGGCAATATCGTATTTTGATGAAAGTACTTAAGATTACATAATTCGTGAGTAATCAGCATTAAGTTCGCACTTAGCACAAGTGGATTCGCGCGATAAGTACTCCAACACCATCACTAGCTAAACATTTATTCAACGATAACTTATGTAAAGTTCCTCGCGTGTTTCGTGTATCGACTTGTCATCAAATTGACGACACACATGCATATACTGTTATCTTTTCGGTTATCTCCGTTGACCACCAATAAATATTAAAACGTCAATTGCAGTAACAATAAAATAATGAATAAGAAATAACGCGTCTGAAAAACATTCCCTAATACCGTAGACAAACAATCAGAATGGATTAAACATATACAATTTATTCGTCGGAAACTGTGAGAGTAAATAAATGTTTTATTTAAATGAGCCGTCGATCTAAGAAAAAATTATTGCACAATGACTCTACAAAAGATTTTATAAATAGCCAGCTTATTTATTTGAATACCTGGTACATCAGTTAATTATAAATCAGTAATATATCTTTCTTTACATCGACTAAGCATTAAATTAAATTTACATAGACCTTTTCTATGTTTTCTTTTTTATTAAATTAACATAAAAAATTAATTTGACAATTTTTAAATTCTGATAATGCAAGAATGACGCTTCAAAGAAAATTGGATTCAGAATTTCTCAGAGACCAACAGGATGAATAGGAGGGATCAATCGAATGGAACACCAGGTGGGATTTGGGTTGCACAATGGCATATATAAAACAGATACATACATATAAACCGAGGTTTTATACGAGAAAGAAAAAAGGAGAAAACCACACATACAAAGAAATCGTGTAAGAAAAATCTTCGCTTGTAAAGCGACTTCGCGGGAAGCACTGAAAAGGATACTTTGTCTAATCGTACGGATGACCTCGCATTGTAACGAAACTTCTTTGTCAGATGGCTTCATTCCAAGCACAATTTCAATTAGGTATAAACGTGCACTCAGCGATAACCGCAACCTTACATTCCTCCTCTTATTTGTTTCAGTTAAAAAAAAAAACGCATAAAGTGTCTCTAATCTTGCAAAATTTACTTTTTACTCTTGTATATATAATAGATCTACCTTTCATAACTGAACTATAATAGAGGAAGAGTACCGATATCAACATATTATTCTATTTTTGCATATTTTTTAATCAAAACTAAAAGTAACACTTTCGAAAAATAAATACTAACTAAAACGTATCTTCTATCAGAATTCAACAGTTTTTATAACATTTTTTGCAATTTTGCAATAATTAACTTTTTCATAAAATAAAAAAAATGAGCATTTGACATAATGGGCTTTAAAACTAACACCATCCATATTTTTCAAGACTGGTTCAATTTTTAATAATCTTTAAAAGTATGCTGAAGTGAATAAATTTCTATTCTAATAATCTTTAAAAGTGAGATTTACTCTTCAGAGTAACATTTACACCAAAAATTGTAGAGAGCAACTTATATTCAAAAACATCTCATGTCGGCATTTTCGACATGTCTGGGTATATGTAATCTATATATGTATATGTAATCTATTATACAATTGATATAATAAATTAATACATAATACAACATATAATTACTGATATTTATCAAAACTCGACTTGTTATTTTCACGTTTATGGTATATTATGTTTCCGTTAGGATCTCGTTAGACTACAATTCTGTTGATTTTCGATGACAAGGTATTCTCAAAGGAATTCCCAGGAGATAATACGGCTAATCTGTACAGTAATTATTCGGAAATTCACTTGACGTTAGCTGATGAAGATTACCGCGCATAAATCCATACGCGAGGCATGCCCGTGAATGCAATCATTATCGCTCTGCATCCTACATAAGCCGGCGAATTGCGTTAATTCACGCAATGAGAAACGCAACGAACGTTGGAATCCATTAAAAATATATCTGTCATGAATTCTTTATCGATGTCGTTTTCTTCTCGTCGCGCTTACGCAAACGTTTCCGAGAACGATGATCGTATTGCGATACACAAAAATTGATCGATTACATTAAAAGAATTAAAGAGCAATGTATTCCAAACAAAGAAACGGTTTATTAGAAGAACATATTTTGGATAAGAAGAGGCTACCTTTTTTCTGCGTCTTAATCTTTATTGCTAATTTATTTCTCTAATATTTAATTGATCTTAATTGTTTTATGTGTTACGTTTAATTTCTAGCTCCAATTTTTCTATTTCTAATATTTTGTCTATTTTTCTTAATATTTCTTCCACTGTGCGTCAATTAACAACACATAAAGAAACATAAAGCACATAATAAAGCATAAGCAGCAAACGAATTGAACAATCATAATAAAAAACAAAAGACAAAAACTTTGTGTGATCACACTACTGTGATTGGCCAATTTTCGCTCATCGTTTACGTCTTGTATTCATTGCTAATTTAGCAGAATTTCTATCAAATTTAATTTTTACCGGATTTTTTGGAGAGGGAAATACAAGAGAAGTCCAAATTGCAGCTAAAATATTAAAAAAATTGCAATAAAGGGATTTCAAATGGACTTGGCAACAGTTCTTATTGCCTTACAGGATCTAAGCACAAGATGGCTGTAACTGTGAGTCGTGGAATGGAAATAGTAGTTGTAGATTGACATACAATGTTTTGACATACTACATATAATAACGTCAAAACATTAGATTACATTAGAACTTCTTTCTTGCTTTCGCCAAATATCAAACATATACATATCTCTTTTAAGTTTCAAAAGTATACACTGTACAGTTCAGCTATAGAAAACAGATCTGTCGTATGTTGACCTACGATTACAACTCACATGACTTAACAGTTATCTTTGTGTTCAAACCTTTACATTTTTGTGAACTATGGGCTTTATTATTAGTATATACAAATTCACTTATACTATACTAGATTAGTATACATTGAAAAAAAGAGATTATTATATAAAGTATTTAAATGCAGTGGTACAATATAATTTTGAATAAAATAATAAGTGTGTATATCCTCAAATATAACGTATTACATTATCGTTATCGAGTACTTAATCGTTTAAAACATTTATACGCTTTTATATTAATTTTGATTTCATATGGTAGGTTTTAGTATGCACTAATCTAGTATAATGCAAATGAATTCGTTACTTTGCAAGCTTCGCGAACTTAATTCATTTTGAACTTCCGACGGATTGTGAGAAAATATAACATATTCGTAATGCATGACTTGCCAAATAGTGACGGTGACCGATTAGGTAGCAGCGATCTCGATCCTTTCCATATCTCTATTTCTCTTTCTCCGTCGACTGACCTTCGATGTTACGAAATAGAGCGCAATTCACGCGAAATAGGAATACGAAACAGTAAAAGGTACTTCGAATTATGTAATTCGTTTTCGGGATCCCCTTTCGGGTGTTTCAATCGTAAAAACACGTATAACTTTGTCAGAGCGATAAACCGGCAAATCTCGATTGCTTTCCGATAGAAAAAAAGAGCAGTTGTAACTAGAGCGATCATCCGGCGTCGTCCATGTCGTTGCAATGGTTTATCCCAATTTCGTTGAACAAAACGTCAACTCTATTGAGAAATAACGTGACGAATAGCGAAAAAATGATTTGGAAAATTTGGAATGGTGATAATTACCTTGAATAGAGCTTCCTCAAAGAAGACTGCGAACCGCCAAAGACCTCAGAATAATGAAGAACAGGAATTCACCGGCGACCGGCCTCTTAAAGAACCTTTCGGCATCGACCGCTATATATATATATATATATATATATACACACACACACGAAGAAGTCGAGCAGTGTTGGCAATCATCGCGACATCTAGCGGTCGGCTACCGTACATCGTACCGCATGAACGTAGGAACAAAAGACTCATTCATGCACTTTGTACACTCGGAACGTTTCTCTTTCTTTCTAAACGCTCGCGTGGGCCTCCATATCGTTTTGGGTGCACAAAATTCGCTAGAGGGTGCAAAGAAAATAAAAAGTGTTTGTTAAAATCTTTAAATATTTGCAACTACCCATCCTATCCACATAACATACTTTAAATATGTCTTTTATTGCTGCACTGTGGACTGAATAAACATAAACCTAATCTATTTTACTTTGAATACTAAAAACGCTATAAAAACTGTACTATTCATAGTTCGGTCTTTGATTCAGCTATAAAAAAAACACATCCTTTTTTTTTGCTCCGTTTTATTATATTTACTACTAAAATTTTACAGTAAATGTATAATTAGATATTCAGTATTCGCAATAAATAATGGATAATGCACCCTTATCCAGAGGAAATATCCTGGGAATGCTGGGAACATTTTTAGAACGTCTCTTCATGCCTTGGAAATGTCTCTCTTGTTCTATCATTATAATTTTTGTACTTAAAATGAGATAGATTCTTATCTAAATATTAAAAAGTTATTAAACTTGATTATTAAACGTTAAAAGAGGAAAGGAAACTGATAAATGCAAGAAATTCATAAATGAAGAATAAGAGTTTTATTATTTCAAAAAATCGGAATCTGGACAATTTTATTTGAGATAAACCCTAGAGATCAATCTTCTTTCGGTAGATGTGTATAAAATGCAGGAACACTAGTTCCATATAGGTAACGATTCACTTGATTCTAGGAATACTTCGAAGCGTATTTTGATTGGTCAATTAGTAAAATTCTTTCTTCTGATTGGTCAAGCGAAAGCTTTGAAGCATTCGTAGCGCCAAGTGCATCGCATCCATAGAAACCAAGAGAGAACGAATTTTCTGAAGTTAGCCGCACTGATATTTACATACTTACCGGGTAGGTGACAGCAGATGCGGTGACAGACACAAAGTTGGAGTATCTCGCAACTTTTACTCTGAATTTACTCGATCGCAGCCAAATTGTATCAGGTTACAATTTAATTTACGTGTTTTTGGATTCAGCTGACGTCTTTACATTGGTATTGCTTGAAGAACGTTGTATTTATCATACGGTTAACGACAGTTAACCTCTCTCGGCAGACGCTACAGTTGTCGGAAAGTTATCGTTTAAAGGTAAGTTCTCTTTGCAGTTCTTCGTTCGATTTGTTTTGAATATGCAATATTTCTTAAAAATATATGAAGATTTGAATGTTTAAATTGCCAAATGTCCTTTCCTTTCTTCTTTTTCTCCTTATAGAAAATAAATGTCTGTCGCTGCTATGATCATTTTTGCACAAGTATTTTATTTAGGCTGATGTTATCAACGTAAGATTAACCTTAATCCCGGTTCAATTCACTTTTATCTTCTTCTAATTCTGAAAATTGGAAGAAAACTAAAGATATAAGAGAATGGAGTGAACGCGATTTGTCAAAATAATTGATAAAAGTATATGTGTGTGTGTGTGTGAAAGAGAGAGACCGTGGAAGACGGCCAATCTCTATCTCTTTCCATTTCTCTTTCTTTTCAACGATGTAATGGGAGAGAAAATAGGAGGGAGATTGGTCGTCTCCCACGGTCCCTTTCTCTCGTTACCGTCGGTCACATTTGAATATTACTTAAATACGGATCGCACAGTCCATTCTCTCTGTCTTTGAAGAAAACAAAGAAAATTGTTCAAAGAATTAAAAGACAAAAAGTAAATTGAACCGAAAAAAAAATGACAGGAATAATTTTCTTTTATATTTTCTTTTTTCTAAATCTAAGAATTAAAAGAAGATAGAGTAAAATTGAACCGAAATTGAAGTGATTCTTATATTGGTGAAAGCAGATCTTAGAGAATGAAAAGAGAAGCATAAAAATAGTAATATAATAAATAAGAGAGAGTCGGGTATGAATAAATCGCCGTCTCGTAAACATATAATGTGTCGTACTTGCTAATTATTTCAGCGTTATTTGTCTTTAATAACAACAATCTGTATAAATAATACATCTTTTGCGTTATGCCATCGACATCGGAGGAACGATGCTATAGCGAATGTGTGTGTTTCTACGCGCGATTTCGCGGCGCCGCGCCGTCACGTCGCGCCGCAGATCCCGGGCGGGATACACGATTCCGATATATAAATAACACGCGAATATATCTTGCGTGTGCGTTATACCTCTTATATTTGTAAGAATGATAATATACTTTTTGGCACTTACTAATAATTAATCGAAACCTGGGGTGTGGTGGAGGGGGGGAGGTGTGAGGGGAGGGGGGGGGTGGACTTTTTATTTATATTTATTAAACATTAGACGAATGCGTTAGGCTCGATTTTCGCGAGAGAGAGATCTCTCGGCAGTTCCTTTCTCTCCTCCGTCTTTTTTCCCCGAGCTCTCCGCCTTAAGATCGTTTCCGAAGCGAATCTACATTGTGTGTATAAGGAGAGCCGATCTCTTTCTCGCTAGAGAAATGTCCGGGATAGTTCAGTACGTGGTGGTGCGGGGAGATCTTGCGAGGACGATGGGATGGCCGTTGGGCGCCGTGATCGCCCAAGCGTGTCACGCGTGCACCGCCGTTATCCATCTCTCTTACAATGACGCCCACACGCAGGCCTACCTCGCGGATTTAGACAACATGCACAAGGTGGTCCTCGAAGTAAGTATTGACTTTCGCGAGGGAAGTTCGCGAGCTGTTAATCCGCGCGCGTTTCATCGCGAGACGTCTGTTTCGCGATGCACATATTTGCACTGGGAGAATTAACTTTTATTTCATTGTAGGTCTGTTCTTTGCGGCTAAACTTACGAGCGTAGTATCCAAGATTTTTTTTTCGGAGCTTCAGCAATTTTGTCTCTCTATCACTGAAGTAATAGTTTTTTAAACTAATGAATTGATTTTGGGATATTTTTAAACTTAATCTCTTTTCTTATTTCTCTGATTTTGAAATGGGAAACAAATATCAGGTTTTGTCAATTATATTTGTTTTCCTTGAAGAAAATATAGGCAAAGTATACATTGAGTGAAAAGTGTTTGGTATTTGTGATTATAATTGCATGGTATAATAATATAATTATAGTTAGAAGCTCCTCCTTTTTGTGGTTATTAGTGCAGTTTAGTAATAATAATCACACATACGAAAAATTGTACGATAAATTATCATAATTTTTCAAATATTAATACAATAAAATATCAATATAAATGGTAAATAAAATTAATGGTTTTATTAAGTTGTTCGGAAAGTTTGTTTTTAGCTCAAAATTGTATATACAACATCCCCGTAAAAAAATGAATGAAATTTAAATTTGAAAAAGCGTTTTAAAGCTTGAAATCTACTTTCGAAAAGTTATTATATTTTATTAGTTTCTGTGAGTTTGGTAATTTTTACATATAAAAAACTACGAGCTGAAAAAGATGAAAAATTTTCTTTTCACTTTGTGGGTTTTCACGTTCAAAAAATATTTGCGAAAATTGTTGATTATTATGAAAGCTTGAAGCTTTTCCTACAAAATCAGTTTTTAAAAAATGTTCCTACGATTTTTTATTCCTGAGCTATTTGCGCGTTAAAGTAAAGGGAAATTTTTATTTTAATTGCTTATAACTCCGTTAAAAATCGTCATACTACAATTAAGAAATCAGATTCTTAAAGCTGAAACTTTGCTCTATCGAATGGTATAATTGTTAATTTTTTAAATTTACAATATATTACTTTAAGTTAGAAAATTTAAAACAAACTTTCTGAATAATTTAATATTCTATTAATGAATAATAGAGCTTTAGCCACACGCTAGATATAATAAGCGATATTTATTTAATAATTATATATATAAATACAAATTAAAAAGTGAAAATAGACGTTTCGGCCCTAAAAGAAGCCATCTTCAGTACAAAAATTAATATAATAATGAAGAAAAACAATAACATTATATGATATATTTTTTGGTTATACATGATGCGAATCTGAGTCGTTATTCCGATTACAATTTTTATACAT